GAGAGGGACAGGAGGAAGTACCAGGCGCTGAGCCGGCGCTGTAAGGAGCTGGAGCAGGTGGGGCGCCGGGCCCGGCCGATCCGATCCCCGCCGCGGGGGGAGGGACAGGGGCTCACGGGCTCCTTCCATGTCTACTGCTCGCTCTCTCTCTCCCTCAGGTGAACGAGAGAATCTTGTCCCGCCTCCACCAAGTGTGCCGGCTGACGCGGCGCCTGAAGAAGGAGCGCAGGTGGGCAGGAGGAGGGGCCTGAAATGGCAGGGCTTGCAGGACTACACTTCCCACAGTGCCTTGCGGCGGCTCCATCAAAGGCTCATGGGGGTTGTAGTCCCCTTGTCTGTGGAGCACTACAGCTCCCGCTGGTGGATTGCCTCTGGGCTGTGACTGGAGATCTTACCCTCAGGCAGCTACAGGGCCCACAGTCCGCTCCTGCGTCATGGGTGCGAGTCTCTGAGCCCTGGCCATGGCGCCTGGCGGGCTGGGTTCAGCAGAACTGCTAGTGTGTGGTGTTCTGCGCTTGGTCTGAAATAGGCAGTAAGAATTTTAGAAACTACATTTCCCACAGTCCCCTGCAGTGGGCAGGCAGGGCCTCGTGGGAGCTTTAGTTCTGGGGCTGAGACAGCAGGTGCCCTGACCCTTGTCTGTCTGCTGCAGGTTCCTGATGAAGACGCTGACTTCCTACGGGGACGACTTCCGCAGCGCTCAGCTGACCCTGCTGCTGGAGGTGAGGGGGCGGAGCCAGTGTGATGAGGGGCGGGGTGTGGGTGAGTCACTTCCGTTGCCGTGACTCCTTGCTGTTTGTTCCAGGAGGAAGGCGGGGCCCTGGCGGACTCTGCCCACGGTGGGGAGGAGGAGGGACTGCACGAGCCCTCTGGCTCCTCCCCCTCGTCCGTCCTTCAGCCAGCAGCCGGGCCCAGGAAGAAGAGGCACCGCGGCGCGCGGGAGAGAGACCGGGAGCTGCAGGTGAGTCCCTGACCGTCCCTCCTCTGTCTCCACCAGCGGCACGTCCTGTCCCTGTCCCTCCCTCTCCCTCTCCCCGCCAGCGTCCTGTCCCTGACCGTCTCTCCCTCTCTCCGCCAGCGTCAAGTCCCTGACCGTCTCTCCCTCTCTCCGCCAGCGTCCTGTCCCTGACCGTCTCTCTCTCTCAAGTTCAAGTTTATTGTCATTATACTCATAAACATGGTATATGGTATAACGAAATGCTACTTAGCTAGCTCTCGGACATAAGTAGTACAAAGAAAAAAACAACAACAACAACAATACAATTGTGTAACAAAAGAAAGACAGAGACAACAGGCAGTGTGCAAGAAAACAACAACAGACGATGTGCAAAAACAGCAACAGGCAATGTGCAAAAAAAAAACCCCAAAAAAACAACAACAACAGGCAATGTGCAAAACAACAAAAGGTAACAGGTTATGTGCAAAAAAATGTATCAACAGAATGAAATAAAGGGATAGAAATTATGGGGAGTGAGCCTTTGACAGCCTTTGACAGTGAGCCTTTGTGGTAGAGGTAGATTTTCAATGTGTGTTTGGGTTTTTGGTAAGAAAGAAAGAAAGAAGGAGGTTCAGATCATAGGTGAGAGGTGAGGCGAGAGTGAGAGAG